GGGGTGAGCTCCTGCTCTCTTTGTCTGCTTGGCTGATATGAAATCACATTCTTTATATTGTGTTTTCCCTTTTTTGTCTAACTGTGTTGTTTCCATCAAAGAGTAGGCAATAAATCTTCACCAACTGATTTATGCACATGTACACTTTGTCTTATACTCCTGTCATCATGTAACTGTATTTTTTTGTCAGTCCTTGGACACACTAACACACAGTCACATGTTTTAAGGGTTTTTGGTTTTTTTTTACTGGTTCTATCCCTCTCCAGCACAGTCCTCCACATTGTCCAGATTAGTCGTTAATGAAACACTGAGGTTATGCTTTTGGGACATTTTCTGCATTTGTTTTCCATTAGCTGACATGCACGTAGCATTACTCCATTCCGCCTATTCTGAAGCAGGTAGAGACACATTTCGGCCTCCATAAATAGTGTAGTACAGTTGGAATATTTCTAGTGTATTTGTGGCGTGTGAGCCATTTTCCAATATGATGTCTAGACTTAAATCGGGCCTAAGCAGGGGAGAGGTGGTGGAGCTGGTGGGCGAGAGGGAGGGCCTGAGCTGTGCCAAGTTTGCATCCACACTCACCATGTATCTGAATGAGCTTTTTATATTACACTTAACTTGGACCAGATGGCTTAAACACAGCGGGCAGCAGCAGATGGATATTGGGACATTGTTATAAGCGCATAGCAGTGTCTCTGCATAACTACAGTTCCACGTACGGAATCTGTCCTTGTCTCACACTGTCTCTACTGTACTGTATGTGTAAGCATCAGCACGCATGCCTCGTGTTTACTTCAGTGTTTGCGTATTTGCGTATGCTTGTTTTTGCCTGTGTGCGCGCAGGAGTGCAGCTGTGTGGCGTTGCGGCCAGTAGATGCTGTACTTTGCATTGACAGCATGCCCAGTTCTCTCCCAGTCACTCAGTCAGTGGTTTCCAGCTCCTCACAGCAGCAGGCTCGCAGCCAGCCGCACTCATTGCTCAACTATGAAATGCACGTTTCCTGCTCATGCTGTCTGCGTTTGATCATTTTTCATAGCTTTTGATAAATGCCTTAATAAACGACAGAAGAAAGTGAAGTTTGTGTTACAGCTTTTCTGCTGGTCTGCTGATACTTGTAAAAATCCACAGTACATATTTGTCATGTTGGTTTTTAATCATGTTTTTCTTTTTTATTATAACTGTGACTTAAGTATTAAGCCTCCAGCAATATTTGCTCACTGCATTATTTGTATGTTGTCAGCTACAGTTATAAATAACAGGATTTCTTGACCC